CAGGCACGGTTCCTTCGACATTGGTTCCGTCACAATCATTGGGATGAGATGACCAAGTCATGGCGGCGATGATTTATAATAATGCTGATTGATGAAAGATTAGTAGTTCGTTAAAGTGCAGGTAGTAGGATGGAAGTTGGGATGCTGCTTCTGAATCTTCCATCTTCCTGAAGCTGTCAACGGCACTGTACCCGTCAATATCTCTGCACATGTGCCTGCTTCTTCAGTTGTATATACTCCGATAATCCATGCGTAGTCCACATTTCTCAAGCCATGCATTTTTTCCGCATTATTCCCATGTTCCAATGGCGATGCAATACATCCGAAATTTCAGGGAAACCTGCCCTGCGTACTGAATGAAATTAGGAACACTACACTATTCCCTCGGTCAACCAGTTCAAGCACTACTACAATTCATAACAAAGCTACGAGAAACAGATTCTACTACAGGCTTAGCTTTCCTAGAGCAAAACACACAAGCCGGCCCGCTCTTCCGCGAAATTTCCCGGCGATCGATCGTACAGTCGCCTTTGCTTCAGAGGGATTTTTGACGCTGATGTTTTATTTTTTTGAAACGGGGCAAAAGACTTGCCACTTTCATTGAATAAGAAGAAGGATTAAGGCCAAAGGCCGAATTACAACGCATTACTCTCGCGGCATTACATTACTCAAGCACTTAGCCCCCGCGAAACACCACAACTTGTACTCATCTTTAATTTTAGCAACAATAACCCCCACCGGCACCGCGGTGCCCCTAAAGACACGAGCATTCCTTTCTTTCCAGATTTCCCATGAGACTAGCATCATAAGAGAGAGCATCGGCCGGTGCGACTGCGATGTGTTGGATGCAATCAGGTTCCACCAAGACTTCACCGAATCCATCACCACCCAAGCCGAAGGATGCACATCCCCGAGGCCAAGCCAAGATTTGACTATACCCCAAACTCGAACAGTGTAGCGGCACCGGAAGAGGATGTGCGCCGCGGATTCTTGCACCTGCTTACAAAGAGGACAACGATCGCAATTAGGCCATCCACGTCGTTGGAGCCTATCGGCCGTCCAAATCCTATTGTTGATAACCAACCAGGCAAAAAATTTGCATTTGGGGGGAGCCCAATTCTTCCAAACCCACTGTAACATGTTAGTGTCAACCAGACCAGAGAACTGAGCTTTGTAGGCCGACGCCGCAGTGTACAGACCATCATTAGTGAACTTCCATGAGATAGTGTCGACCCCATCTGGGTTGAGTTGAACAACCGAAATTTTTTCCCAAAGGTTGACGAACTGAGTGAGCTGGTTAGCGGAGAAGATGCCACAAGTGTTGATTTGGGAGACCCAGAAGTTGTTTTGCAAAGCCTTGTTCACCGAGCAGCCCCTTCGTTTTGAAATTTCAAAAATCATTGGGGCGATGTCTTTGGGCCTGATGCCATCAAGCCAAGCAGACTCCCAAAAGGAGGCACGAAGTCCATCTCCAATTAAGACCTTGGTGGCAGACGCAAAGATGTCTTTATCTCTCTTATCGCAAGGGTTCCCCAACCGCACCCAAGGCTTCGCCGGGTCCATCCATTCCGCCCAGAGCCGACGTAAACGGAGAGCAGATGCAAATTTCTGTAGATTTAGGATGCCTAGTCCGCCATGAGCTTTGGATTTACACACTTGTTCCCAATTGATCTTGCATTTGCCACCGGTGACCTTGTCACAGCCAGCCCAAAGGAAAGCACGCCGAAGGGAGTCAATCTTCTTCAAAACCTCCACTGGCAGATCAAGTGCAGTCATGTAGTATATGGCGATGGCTGTGAGGACAGATTTGACGAGAACCACCCTGCCCGAAGAGGCCATGAGCATGCCAATCCAAGGAGTGAGTTGGGCAGCAATCTTGTCTTCGAGCGGCTGGAAGTGGATTCTCTTTAGTCTCTTAACCGATAACGGCAGTCCCAAATATTTCATAGGGAAGGTGGAGCGGTTCGCAGGGAAGGAATGGAGGATATCATCAAGGTCAAGGCTCACACAGCGAATGGGGGCGACTAAGCTTTTAGTGCAGTTTGTCATCAATCCAGTGACCTCCCCAAAGCTCGCCAGTGTTTCCACAAAGAAATTTACATCATCCTTGATTGGCGCAAGGAAGACCGCAGCGTCGTCCGCATAGAGGGAGGCTGATGTTTTATAGCTCGACGACGCAACCAAAACATGAGTGCTGAAGCAACCAACCATTGCGGCGTCACTGTCGACTCCTCCTATTTTCAGCTGCGCCAAACCAAACCGTCCGTCTCATGACAGCCCGGCGATCAGTCCAGTGTTGTTCCAAGCCAAGACTGCAATTGCTGCAGGATCCTTCCTTCTTCCCCTGTCCCTGTCGTACCCATATATATCTCCAACACGCCAACATGTTACTCCACTGCAAAACCTATCTCGTTGAAAGCCCCTTTGCTTACGGAAGAGAAGAGTTGGATGCCGTGGTGGGAAAGCTCCCGTTTCAACTTTGCTTCTTGTAAGCTTCGGTATAAATAGCTCACTTGCGGGATCTAATCTCATTCTATGGGAACAGCTTTCATTTCTATCTTTTGGCTTAAAGTGGTGAACAAATCCTTTCTCTTCACTTTTTGTGCTCCGCATGGCTCCGGTCAAGATGTGACTCATCCTGTATATACATAATTAGGAGACCTCTCACGAACTTGTTAAAGAAAGGAGTACCATTTGTGTGGACAAGCCAAAGCAATCCTTTGATGTTCTCAGCCTTGGGCTTCTTCTTTATATAAAAGAGAAATAAGAAGGAAAATGCTCGGTGTATGGAGGCGCAATGTGCTTCATGAGAGCAGCTCTTGTTGAAGCTGATAACCAAAATTCGATTGAGCAGTCTGTTACAGGCAAAGTCGGGAGTGGAGAGTGCAGTGCGGATGCAGGATGCAGTGTTTCAGAAATTCTTAGCCTGGCTGGAAATATCCTTACTCTTGCACCAGATCATCTGCACAGCCAGTTGTATCTTGTCTTGATGTTTAGAGAAATGGATTCCTACAGTTGATCACAGAGCCGGTGTAACTTTATTTGGCAGATTCCACTTTAATCGGCATCCTTGCTATCTTTGCCCGGACCACCCACATCGCTTGCATTCACAAGCTTTGCACCTCTGTTAACTCATCATCTCCCTAAATGCAATGCAGTACTAATGTTCCGACGCGGGAATTCAGTGTCGATTTTAAAGGATCTGAACCATCTTCAGTAAAATGCCCGCAAAGTTCACATGAAATTGCTGTCTTCCGAACTCGGATATCAACTGAAAACCAAACCAAGCCCTAACTCATTTTTTTTTCTACAATTGCAATGTACTCCCTCGGTTTCAGAATACGTAGGGACTAAACTGAGTGGAGTGAACAAACACACTAAAATGTGTCTATATAAATCCGATTTCAGAAAAAACTTATACCATCTTATATTTGTGAACCGGGGGAGTACTTGATAAGAACACTGCTGAAGATACTAGCCAAATTTTGCGAACAACCTGCAACAGGCCAGTGAGACTGCGATTCATATTCAGGCTGCAATTTTCTGAATTTTAGGTTTGGTTTGTAATTGCTGTAAAGATGACAACCAAAATTTGATGAGCACTCTTTTACAGGCAAAGTCAGAAACGGGAGAGTGCAGTGCAGATTCAGGATGCAGTGTTTCAGAATATTTAGCCTGGCTGGAGATATTCTTATTCTTACAGCAGATCACATGTACAAATGCTCCAATCATATCTTGTCTGGATGTTCATAGAAATGCGTTTCTACAGTTGTTCAGAGAGCCGGTCTGATTTTCTTTGGCAGATTCTGCTTTATTCAGAATATCCTTGCTATCTTTGCCCGGGCCACTAACATATCGGTTGCATTCACAAGCTTGCACCAATGTATAATGCATAATGCTCCCAAGCGGAAACTCGGTGTCGATTTATAAGGATCTGGACTGTCTTCAGTAAAATGTCCGCAAACTTCACTTGAAACCGCTGCGTTCCGAACTCAGATATCAACTGAAAACCAAACCAAAACCTCACTCAGTTTCCCTGCAAATGGCAATGTACTTCTAAGAACACTGCTGAAGATGTTAGCCAAATTTTCCTGAACAGCCTGTGACAAGCCAGTGAGACTGCAGTTCATATCCAGCTGCAACATTTTCTTGAATCTTTAGTCTGGCTGAAGATGTTCTCACTTTTACACCAGATCAGCTGTGCAAATGCTCTAAATGTACTGCTTGAACGCTTGTCTTGGAGTTAATAAAAGTTGATATCTGCAGTATCCTCTCATTTATTCGGCACATATCCTGCTTGAAACCAGCACCCTTTGCTATCTTTGCCCGGACCACCAACATGGCATCGCTTGCCCAGTTGCCCATCACAGCTTGCACCCGTAAACGCGATGCAATTCAGTGAAATGAACCAGAGGATAACAATGTTTCAAACGCGAAGGCCCGCGTCGATTTCAAATAACTGAACTACCTTCTGTAAAATGACCGTAAAACTTTCGAGGAATTCATGCATTCCAAACAGATCTCATATGAACCAGAGGATCTCTGATATGAACTGAAACATGTAGAGAGAAGCAGGGAGACCAATGTGTAGTGCTAAAAGATATTACTAGCTCAGTAAAAATATGGCATGATAGCCTCAGGATTTCATATGGTTAACACTGAAACCTCAAAATCCCTAGCACAAACGCATACTACCACCTCCCTCTCTCTCTCTCCCTCACACACGCACGCACACACACACACTGAAATTCCTAGAACTAGAGGGGGTGAAAAAGGAACACCCACAGTTCTTCCCATTCAGCTCATGCTCAGCAGTAATAAAAAAAAGTTACTACGAAGCTAGGTAATCCCTATCCTAACCCTCGCTCCGGCGACTCTTCTTCGGCCTGCCACTGTATGTACATTGCAAGTCTGCCCAGTGCCCGGGGGTAAATCTGTCAGAAGGGGGGCGAATGGGGGGCAGAGTTCTCCAGCGGCAGGCCGAGAAGGTGCGCCGGCGCCTAGCACTCGTCGGCGTAGGGGTCGTCGGAGAGGCGGACGAGGAGGCGGCGGAAGTCGGCGACGGGGCAGGGGATGCGGAGCGCGCCGGGGTGGCCGTACCCGTACTCCTGGGCGGCGCGCAGGAGCAGCGCCGCGAAGGCCGGCCGGCCCAGCAGGTCCGCGCGCACGGCGAACCGCTCCACGGGCCCGCCCTCCTCGCCGACGCACACCGGCACGTGTCCCTGCGGCACCTTGGCGCCGCCGGTCGTGGACGCCTGCTTCGGCGCGCGGAGCTGCCGGTACGCCGTGGCGGCGGCCGCGGAGGAGGAGTCGGCCGCGGCGACGCGGGAGAGGCGTCTGAAGAGGCGCTTCATGGCGCCGGAGGCGGCGGCGGGGAGGAGGAGAAAAGCTGGGATCCTGGCTGGGGACGGAAGGAGGGAGGGAGCGCGCAGGGGTCAAGGCGAGAGTTTGTTTGCAGTGGACGGAGTGGTACTGGGTGGGGGGTGCTGCGGTCCGTCCTATACTTTATAGAGGCGTAGGGGGCTCGTTGTCACTTTTCTGCCATTTCTACCTTTTTTTTTGCAGGGAACCTTTTATTCCTTGGTGCAATATATTTTTACGGAAATATTAACGCCCACACGTGTGGGCGTCTGACAACTTGCCCACACGCATGGATTCTCATCCAACCACTTCTGCACGAATCCTGGCGCGTTCTAGCAGATTTTTTATGACACGTAGGACTGGGTTCGTGTGTGGACATTCGTCCAGTCGCCCACACGTCCTTTTTTCACCACACAGGGGACTGGTGTGTGGGCGTTTAGCAAGTCGCCCACACACCAGTTTTCACGCATGCAGAGGGGCTGGTGTAGGCGCTTATTGTCGTAGTTCTAAGTCTGACAGTAGAATGGGGGGTAGGTATGGAGAGGCAAGATCCTAGCTATGGAGCAGTTGTGCACACAGGTGTTTTACGAGTTCAGGCCCTTCTCGGAGGAAGTAACAGCCCTACGTCTCGGAGCCCGGAGGCGGTCGACTGGATTATGTGTGTGAGAGTTACAGGGGTGCGAACCCTTCTACCAGTGGAGGGGGGTGGCTTATATAGAGGACGCCAAGACCCAAGCCAGCCCACGTAGCAGAGGGTTAAAGTACATTAAGGTCTGGCGTTACTGGTAACGCCCTACATAAAGTGCCATCATGACCATTAAGACTACTTAATTACAGACCGTTTGGATACAGAGTAGATCATGAACTCCTGGTGGTCGAGCGAGTCTTCATGATCGAGTGTCTTCAAGTTCGTCGAGTGTCTTCTAGTCCGTCGAGTGGAGTTCCTCTTGGTCGACTGGAAGACAGCTTCTTCTAAGAGATGTCCTTGGGGAGGGTACCTTGGTCAGGTTCATGACGCTACCCTAGGTACGTGACTCCATCAGTAGCCCCCGAATGGATCGAGGTTTGAGTGAGGAAGGAGTTGGCAATCTTTCCGACCTGCTTTTTGGTGTTGTAAAGGTGTTTTGCTCTGGATCAGTGACTTTCAAGTGAGGGTGTCAACTTTCGTTCAGTCGCCTTGATCCATTCTTTATATCTGTCGAGTGAACTTTATGAACTTGGAGATTTCTGAGCGACGGATCGCAGGAGATCTTCCGTCTGACAAGTTGCCATGTGGTTAGCAGATTTAGTGGGATCCGAATTTTGGGAAGCGCGCGAAGCGGAGAAGACCGCGGTACTCGGATGGGATAAGGCAGGGGCGCCTCGATTCTTGCGCCGCCTTTTTCGCCACGTATCGCTTGCGCGACTGTTTCGGGATTTGACAGGATCGCCTGGGCCTACCTGTCGGCCACTCGGAAGTGACTCCATATAAGGAAACCGGTGGAGGTTTTTTGAACAGTGCCTCCTCATTTTCTCCTCCCTCGCCTCCAGATTCATCCACTGCGCCCACCAACTGCCCGACGCCGCTGCTCCGTTCCGGCCTCGTCGGCGACAATGGTGAAAGAGAAGACAACGGCTTTGGAGCGGGTGAAGAAGGCGACGGCGGCGGCGAAAGCGAAGGGGAGAGCGACCAGTCGAGGGGGATCCTCGTCGCGGTCCCGTTTGCCGCAAGGTTGGATCCAGGGTGATTGGATCCGCTCGACCATCACCCAAAAGGATCTCGACGACCTGGCCGACGAAGGCCTGATTGCGCACGGGGCGGCGAGGCTCCCGGGGATGGAGTGGCAGCCACAGCCGCAGAAGGGTGAGTGTGTCCTCTTGGCGACTCATGTAGATCGAGGGTTCTCTCTGCCACCGCATCTTTTCTTTCGTGGGTTTCTGAATTTCTTTGGAGCTCAGCTTCACCACTTTACCCCCAATTCCATTGCCTATCTCTCCGCCTTTGTATCTTTGTGTGAGAACTTCTTGGGTTGTCGGCCGCACTGGGGCCTCTTCAAACACATATTCACTTGTCGTTCTCAGACGGTGAAAAAGGCCAGCCCCAATGACGAGAGAACTCAGGTAATCTAGATGTGTGGGGGTCTCGGGGTCCAGGTGAGGAGTAAGAGCGCTTTCCCAGCTATGACCCTTCCCGAGTCAGTCAGAGGGTGGCAGTCGACCTGGTTCTACTGCCAAGACCAGTCGACGCCAGGGCAGTCGACTCGGCTCCCTCCCTTCTCTATGAGTCGAGTGAACAAGCCATCCTCTCTGAAAGTAGTTCTGGAGGAGAAGGCTCAGGTAAAAATGTTGATGGAGCGTGTAGTCCAGTTGATTCGTGACGGTGTGACTGGCATGGACCTTCTGGAGGTTTTCCTTCGGCGGCGCATCCAACTGCTCCAGTATCGGGGCCACCCGATGTGGTTGTATTCTGGTACTGAAGACACCAGTCGGGTCCACCCAGAGGAGGTCGATGATGCCACACTGGAGAGGTGGATGATTGCCATCACGGGGAACAAGGACAACCCTCATGGAGCCAGGAGGATTCCGCCACTCGACCAATCCTATGATCCGGACAAGGTACGACCATTCTTCTCCGATTGTTCCATCCGTTCTGTTTCATCGTAGATCAGTCGATTGACTTTTGTCTTGCTTGTTGTTTTTCAGGAAACCACCAAGTTGTACTCGATGCCCAATGGGGCGCAAGCATAGGCCGAAGAGGAGGAAGGAAGTGGAGGCGAAAGTCAAGAGGAGTGGGAGTCGGATGCCGATGAGGGTGATGAAGACGTAGGCTCCGACGAGGAGGAAGAGGAGGAGGAAGTTGTGCCTCCTTGTTCCGAAAGGAGGTCCAAGCTCGCCCACGACCCTGCGGCTGATCGTGGCAAGGGGGTCGTGCCTGCGGGGCAGTCGACGAAACGCCCTCGGACAACTTCACCGGCGCCGACTGAGAAGGCGTCGAAGCAACCCTGAGCGGCCCCATCAAAACCGGCGAAGCCCTACCGAAGATGAGGATGGAGATTCCGACTGTTTCTGGGTAACGGCATAGCTCATGTTTTTCATTCTTGGTCGACTTCAATCGCTGACCGACCGATATTTGAAACCGCAGTGCTGCTACTTCTGAGACTTCTACTAGGCATGAGGATCAAGAAATGGAAGATGCTGCTACTTCTCATCCTGGTATGATCTGCGCGGTTTTGCTTTTGGTCGATTGAATCTTTATTTTTGACTTTGAACTTCTTCTGCAGCTCCACCTAGCGTTGTCATCAATCTCCCTGACGATGACGATGAAGCGCCACTAAGGCAGAGGAGGAGCAGGAGGGTGACTGCTGGCAAGGATGCTCAGGTTGTGCCAGCACCTGGACCACAGATTCCAGAAGGGAGTAACGTCGCTCGGGCTACCGTGTCCTTTGCGGAGCCGTTGATGGTTGCCCGCCCTTCGTCGTCGAGTGCTGACCCGCCTTCTCTCTTCTCCACCTACCACATCCCGGAGGACCAAACAAGCGCTGCCAAGGAAGCCATATGCCAGGCCGGGATTATGATGGAGCAGGTGAAGGCGATCCGAACCGCCAGCCAAGCAGCTTATGACGCGAGTTCAGCTCTCCAGAGTAATGTCCAGGTTAGTTAAACATCGACTGGAAATCTTGATGTTTGTCATGCACCCACTAGGTGTGTCACTTCTACGGTGGACTGCTGGCAGTCGACTGTAGTCTTTGTGTCTTGAGATTTTTCACTTGACTTGTTTCACTTGAGCATGGTCGAGTGGAACAATAAAACTGGTGGGGGCATGCTGAGTGCACCCACTGGGTGTAGTCCCCGAGACCGTGGTCGATTGCTGGCAATCGGCTATGGTCTGATTTTTTTTGCTGCTGACAGTTAACTGCTTCCGGTCGACTGATCGACTCTGAGTCTAGCTGATAGAACTAGTGGGGGCACGCTGAGTGCACCCACTGGGTGTAGTCCCCGAGACTATAGTTGAATGTTTAGATTCAGCTGTAGTCTTAGAAATACTACGATTTTTTCCTTTAGTCACTCGGAAGTGATCTGTCTTTGATGTCTGTCGACTGACCTTTGCAGAAATCTTGCGACCTTGTTTCCCGTTATACCGAGATGGAGAATAAGTATATCCAGCTTGAATTTGACCTGAAGCTTGTCCAAGAGAACTTCACGAAGTCGAAGGAGGAGGCAAAAGGTATGTTTGGTGAGAATCTTGACGACTGTCTTTGCTTCTTGCTTGTCCCCGAGTCCGATCTTATTGCGATTTTGCAGAAAAACTGAAGGATGCTCTGAAGAAGAAGGACCTCGACCTCGCCGAGGCGCAGAAAGCGGCTTCGGACAAGACAAAACTTGCAGAAGAGGGGTTGGCTTCTGTCAGCAAGTTTGAAGAGGAAAACACTAATCTGAAAGCTGCTCTGGACGTGGCCAACCAAGAAGTCACTCGACTGAGGAATGCCAACATGGTCCTGGACGACAAAGCTGGCGAACTGGCAAGAAAGAAGAATGACTTGGAGGTTTATCTGGGAGGACTCGCCAAGAAGCTATTCCTCATGCTCGAAGGTAACCCCTTATCTCCGATTGGTAATTACTGACTTGCTGTAAGGGCATTAGCTTATCCTTGAATCGCGTCCACAGAATTCTGCCAAAACTTTGAAGAGGAGACTAGTCGAGTGGAGACTGGCTTGGATCCCATCAATTCTCCGGTGAAGGATGAAACCGCTATGAACGTGCTCCGCCTCGAGTCTCGTGTTGCTGCAGTGGTCGATTACCTTGCAAGACTGAAGGCCGCAATGTCGCGCATCGACACATCGCTCTGGCTAGAAGAAATGCTTCAGAACGACCTTGAGTCGCTGATGACTCGACTGAACGAAATTCCGAGTCGAGTGCAAGAATGGAAGAAGTCTTCTGCCAGGTGCGGTGCTGATGTCGCTCTGTCCTTGGTCCGCGTCCACTACAAGGAAGCGAGAGAAGACAAGCTGGTGTC